TGTGTTATTTTGAGAAAGACTAGAGAAACTTTATTGTTCAAAAAGTAGTAAAAGAAGTGTTGAAAATCCCAGAAAACAAATGATAAAATGAGGTTCCAGAGGAGGTGGGTGGGATGGGGAGTAACCACACAAGGGTATGGTCAGTGAAAGACAGGAAGAACATCACTTTTTCCAGGATGGAGAGAAGAACATAAGGATGGACATGGGAGGCTGTCTCTCCCTCTGGAGATAGCCTGCAATCTCCCTTGAATATATTTTCCTTGCTTTACCCCAAAAGTTTCTTGCTTTCAAGATGGCTATGTTCTCCTTTGCACCTTTATGATGGCTGGCATTCTCCCTGAGTGTGCAGTTCTTACTTTACCCCCAAAATGTCTATTCACTGGAATAGTCCACATTCTCCCTTAAATGTTTATCCAGTTTTTAAGGTAAATCTGTCTCTTAAAAACATAATGAGCAGACACAAGTAAAGAAGCTTATGGAAGTAAAGTATTGAGGAAATTCCCACCTGAAAAGCTCTACATCTCAGTCAGGTTGTGTGTGTGTGTGTGTGTGTGTGTGTGTGTGTGTGTGTGAATAGAAAGGACAGAAAATTTGAATATAGTATACAGGAAGCTTGGAGAAGATGGAAAGTTTACACATGACTTCTGAGGGCAATATATGGAGGAACTGACCAAAGGCAAAATAAGTGAATGGTGTTGAAAGCATACTTATAATAAGAACCATGAAATTTTAGTGATACTAATCAGAATGCTTGAGAGATTTTTTCTAGTAGGATAACAGTGAGCACACTGGAAAGGGATTGGACATTGGTCCCAGATGGAAGGGACAAGAAGGTAAGACATTTTTCAAGAATAGTGAGGGGAAAGTCATAGAGGTACAAGCTTATTGAGAAGAAAAGAAGCTGAAAGAAGTAGAGATTTGAGTCAAAGAAAGGGTCCCAGCAGTGGTAGGGTTGTGGCTCAGTGGTACAATGCTCGCCTACCATGCATGAGGCACTGGATTCGATCCTCAGCACCACATAAATGCAAAATAAAGATATTGTGTTCACCTAAAACTAAAAAATAAATATTAAAAAATGTAAGGGCCCCAGCAGTTTGAGTTCAGAAAGAGAACTCTTAGGGGTAAATGAAGCCCAGGTGGCAGAAGAGAAAACATTATCAAAGTCACTACAATTTTGAAGCCCAAACATTGAGAAGCTAGGGGTAGGATCGAAGGTCTTTAATAGAAGTCTTTCAGCCTGCTGGTTATCCCTGTAATGGAAATATTGAGAATCACAGGCCACAGACTTCTGGGAATGTGAACGAAGTGACAAAGAGGATAGGTGGTAGTGCTGGCGAAATAAAGAGACAATGATAAAGGAGAAAGCATTTTCTCATAAAGAAAAAGAGAGATAATGATCTAGAAGAGACAAGGAGGAGCTGGGCAGGATGGGAGGCAGGGTAGAAAAAGCAGCCTCCATGAGAGGAAATGTCCAGAGAAAAATATGAAGGACTCTGATTTTGTGGAGAGCTACTGATAGAAATGGAGGGGGTTTCTAAGAAATATAGTTTGTTAATGAGCTTGATTCAATCACCCTACATTGTATATGTTGTGGTGTCACTGAACACTCTATATGTATATACAATTATAATCTGTCAATATCCAATAAGAAAATTATAAAAAAATAAACACTTTAACAAAACAGAGGGAAAAAATTAAATATAGTTCCAGAGAGCCAAAAGCAAAGAGATGTCAGGAAAGCGTACAGGGAAAAGAGGAAGAAAAAAACAGTGTGGACGAGAAAAGTCACGTGCACTATGGTGGTGCCTAACAACATGGGAATGAGGGAGGGATGGAATCCCCACTCAGCACTACCCATCCCCACCCCATATCACAGGGACAGACATTTTATGCTCAAGGAGGACTTTGCCTTTCAGAAAAATAGGGCTCCTACAATGTGAGGCATGTATAGGAAAGCTGTCTTACCATCCTAAGGATAAAAATGCCCAAACCATTTATTTCTGGAAAATTCTGACAGTCTTCTACAGAAAAGAAGCCTCAAAGTTTCAGCTTTATCGGTTTATAAGGAAATAATCTCCCCACCCCTCACTCCAGTTCCATTCCTCCTCCTTAAGGCCTTGAGTCCAAGCTTGGAACTAAAGGTAGAGCCAGCCCTAGAAAAAATTCAGATTTTTCTCTCCATGTTCATCATTTCTTAGTGAACAGCAGATGGTAGCAAAGAGCTGGGAAAGGTGATAAATCCTTAATATTGCTCTAGGGCAGCCAAATAGGTGATATGGCCCATCAAGTTCTAGAGGGTGTTGGATGCTCCAACCTAGGACCTGGAGTTAAAGATCATTACACCTGTCCTGCAAGCCAAATCCTCACTGAGCTAGGATGTCAAAGAGGTATCAGCAGTAAAACAGTGTATCATGTCTCCCATCATAGCCCTACTATTTCTTGCCTCACCAGTTAGGGACCTAGGCTACCAACAGGAAATGCTCTAAGATGACACAATTATATTCCCCAAAATGGTGAAGAGGGCCAGGTGTGGTGGCCCATGCCTGTAATCCCAGTGGATCAGGAGGCTGAGGCTGGAGGATCACGAATTCAAAGCCAGCCTCAGCAAAAGCAAGGCAATAAGCAACTCAGTGAGACCCTGTCTCTAAATAAACTACAAAATAGGGCTGGGGATGTGGCTCAGTGGTCCAGTGCCTCTGAGTTCAATCCCCAGTACCCCCCAAAAAATGGTGAAGAAAAAGGGAAGGTGAACTAGGCTTTGGAAATGATCCTGCTCCCACACTACCCTCTGCAGTGCTTATTGGACTGTATGACAATTGTATACCTTCCCTAATAGACAGGGGTTCCTTCTGCAAAGACCATCTCTCTCTGGTTATCTGTGATTTCCTACTAAAAATGCCTGGCACATAGTAAATGTTCAAAAAATATGTATTCAGTGAATCAGGGCAAGAGGTAGGGGAGACTCCCAGCCTGATGTGGTTAGGACTGAGAAATTTAGCCTTTCAGACTTCATATTGTATGAGAAACACCCCTGGTCTGGGAAGGAATTTAGGCTGGGCTTTGAAACAGTTTATCTCTGAGACTGAACTATTATCCTGGCTCCATTGTTTATGGCTATGGGCATAGTGCTTAATGTTTCTAGGCCTTGATTTTCTCCTTCACAGAAGGTAGATTCTTCAACCAGCTGTTTGTGACAGGAAAATACACAAAACATAACTGTCACATGTATCTTGGTACCCAACAAGCACTCAATTAAAAGTAGTCACTGATCCAGGCATGGGGGTGTCCACCTGTAATTCCAGGTAGTCAGGAGGTTAAGACCAGAGGATCTTGAGTTTAAGGTCAACCTGGGCAATGTCTCAAAAATATTAGTCACTGATATTTTTTGTGCTTATTATTCCTGTTGCTACAGCTTCTTCTCAGGGCCAGGTATTGGGGGCAGGGTGGGGGATAGTCATTAGAAGTAGGAAGTAAATTGGAATTATGATTCAGAATCTGTACTTCCTCAGCTCAGTTCCCTCAAATAGCATAGCACCAGAACCAACAGAAAGTTACAGAAGAGTCAGCCCAGTCTAGAGGGCATAGCTTCCCGATTGTTTTTTTGGAGGGAGGTGGGATGGCTAATTGGTATTTTCCATGTCAACCAGTCTAGCTCCACTGACAATTTTTTTATGTTTCCCTCAGAGTAAAAAGAGGTTTAACTAATAGCCATAAGGATTTGGGTATAATTCCTACCACACAAATCAGAAGCCAGGAACAATGAGGATAGGGTCTGGTGTCCTGGTTCCACTCAAAATCAGTTTATCTCTGAGACTTGTCTATTATCTGGAGTCCGTTGCCTGTGTAACAGAGGACAGAACTGACTAATAACACAACTTCAGACCTCCCTTAAAGCTAACTAAATGTAACTAAATGAAAGTGTTCTTTGGCAGTGTGAGACCCCAAGTGGCTACACAGTGTAAAAGCAGCCTCAAAGAAGATTTAGACAAATGTATAGAAAGGAGGCCTAATTGATAGGAACCAGGGGATAGGTGACCAATTTCTTGACTACCAACAAGCAAGAGAATCCAGAAGAACTTCCAGACCACCCTCCAGTGAAGTGAAGGGCCCAAATGGCCTCATGCCATTTTTAGTGCAATAGAAATAAAATTCTTGCTGCCTGGGCTGAGGTATGGAGGGTGGGTCTTCCAGAAAAGTCCCAGCAATCAAGATAGAGAGACTAGTCACTAAGTCTAAAAGACAATGTCTCCCAGTTATAGGGCCTTTCAGGAAGGGAAGAATGCCAAGAAAGATCAGCTTGACCACAAAGGCCCAGGAACTCCTCTTTCCTTTTGTCAACTACACAGTGGAGAGAAGGGAGCATTTAAGGGGCAATGTGAACATAAATAGATCAGGTTCTTTTGTACAAGACTGTCTCTACCAGGTGGGCAGACTCGTTCTCTTGACCAAATGAAAAGTTCGCAATGGTTTTACATGAAGAATTACATGAAGGATTCTGTTAGTTCACCTGCCTCTTCCCTCAGTGCCATAATCCCCCAGGCCCTTGAGGCCTAATCCCTTTCAGTATCTTCTTGGGTTCTGAGAGGATGGATGCAATGAGCAAGAACATAAAGGTCCAAGTGCTCCATTTTGTCCTTGCTATACTTGACACTGAGGCAGGGGGCAGACACAAGCACAAGAAAGGGACAAAGTGTAGGGGACACCATGCAAATCCAAGGCCACTGCCAAGAGCCCAAAGCCTAGGCCCTATGACAGGCAGTTAGCAGCGCCATGCTCAACCCACAAAAGATGTTTCTGAAAAGCCTCCAGATGCTTTGCAGGCCTCATCCATGCCCAACTCCCCAGTCCCCAGTGTCTACCATTAAACATGCTGAAGAAACCCAGCCAAGCAGCAGCTCAAGACGCTGGTAGACCCCCAAGAAATAGCTGACTCCTCCAAATCCAAACAGAGTGAGAGGCAAGGTGTGGGGTGACATAGGGATGTTATGTGCTGGCCTTACCTCCTTTCCAAAGCAGGTAGATGGGCACCACGTAGAGCATGACATGCTGAATGTAGTAAATCTCCAATTCAAAGGGAAGCTACGAAGACAAGATGGAGAGAGGCATTTCAGAGAAGGAAGCACTTATTTCAGGAGATTCTGAACTTGAACGCCCTTGCTCTTCAGGATCCACATTTTAGCAGACCCAGGCATTTCATCAATTCACCTCTTTTTTCACAATTAAAAAGAAAAAAGATGAATATACTCCTGACCTAGAACAGAATCTTCCAAGGTGTATTTTACTGAGATGATACTTGAAAAAATACTTTACTAAAAAAAAGTTTGGTTAAAAATTTAATAAAGGTTGCATATAACATATTCCCTTGGAGAGTCATCATGCATGGTATTGGTACATTAAGGATTTGAGTGGACTCTACAGTTAAGAATCCTACTTAATATTTTTTTTTCTCCCAAGTTTCTTAAATGTATTTAGGAAGTGACTTAAAAAATAGAACACTTAGGATTCTGCAGAATATACTTGGAGAAACACAACCTTATGTCATTTCCTACTCCTGGCAAGTAGATGGTAAACTATTTGACATGTAGAACTATTTGACATGTAGAACGTATGAAGGAGGATTTATTATCCTCATTTTCCAAATTGAAAAAAAAGTGATTACTAAATCTGGTCAAGTCTAGATCCAAAAATAACAAGTTTCCACATAGGATACTTGGGTGTCAGTCAGGGCTTGACCTATCATTTTTATTATTTTTTAGTTGTAGATGAACACAATTCCTTCATTTTTTTTTAATTTTTCATATGGTGCAGAGGATTGAACCCAGTGCCTCACACGTGCTAGACAAGTGCTCTACCACTGAACCACAACCCCAGCCCTATTCTTGACTGAAGACCAGCCAGCAGGGCCAATTCTGGCATAGTAAGCCATAAGAACTTCCCTTCTCTCTTGACATATAACATATCCACTTATTCACCCTTTTCCCAATCCCCCTCAAAATGGAAGCTATGGATTACCAAAGTCGAGTATAGTTTCAACCTGGCATGGGGATCCTGCTGTTGAGCTTGGCAACAGGCAGAAAATGGAAACAGCTGGGTGGCTAACTTAATTTGGGGGAGAAAAAGAACTTCAGCAGCTGGCAAGAGGCCTTACCTATAGGGCATACTAACATGTGCATGCATGTGCAAATGGATAAACACTGATCTCAAGGGCAGCTCAGAGAGACAAGGACACCCAAGGGAAGGTTTCAGCTGCCTCCCTGTTCCCTACAGAGCAAGCACATAATCAAGAATTGTGCTAATGAAAGAAGGCAGTTATAGGCCCCCCAGGCACAGGAGCCCAAGTCTACTGTGTGCCAAGGGCTAAAACCAAAAGATGGCTGCTGAGAGCCATAGCTAAGTAAGAATGACGCATGGCAATTTCCTTGTCAGCTTACCCCATGTTGCTTAGAGGGAGGACTCTCCATTGTGGAAATGGGCTTGCCTTGGACCCAGGTCATTTGCAGTGACATTGCACGAAAGGTGACCTTGCTCAAGGAACAGGGCGGATCCAGGTTTAGGGGGATCCAGGTTTAGGGCGATTGGGGTTTAGGGCGACCCCCGATCCGGGTTTAGGGCAGTTCCAGGTTTAAGGTGTATCCTGCTGCCTCCAGGCGCCCGCTCCTTGAGTTCCCGTTGAGTTCTTGGGGGATTCAGAGAGTATTTTGGGATGCAGAGCCCGGTGGAGGTAGTGGATTTTCCCCAGAACGTGCGTGTAGAGTGCCGGTGACAGTTCGGGAATAAAGAATTGCTGTTTGAATCTACAAGGTGTGAGTGGCTCGTGATTTTGTGCCCAGCCAGACTGCGGCAGATGGCAAAGCTCCCAGAATGGGAGCTAGGACAACTGTAGACCCTGGGCACGAACAGCGGCTCTAGCTCTTGACAATCCATATCAAAGGAGAATCTCCAGAGACCTAGATGATGCTAAACTATTACTTTATGTTCACAGAGATGAATATAAAAACCCAGAAATGGAGATAAGGTTCCAAGTGTCTCTGGGGAAGATGCTGGAATGGGTTATGGGATCTGAAATTGGGCATTACTAGCACATGGTAGGTCTGGAGGCCTAAAAGGCCCATATTTGGCCTTCAATGTGGTCGGGATGACCCTACTATTTTATGTGAGTATGGCCATATACTTTTCTTTTTTCCATATTTTTATTGGTGCATTATGATTATACATTGTAGATTATTGTTATACATTCATACATGTACACTGCTTCAAATGTGTTCACATTCATGAGCTACTCGGTCTCTCTGTATTCGACACATAAGGAGCATAAGGTACAAAAAGGTTAATTGACTCTTTGCTGAGATCACCCAGAAAATAGTCAAGGAGGAAAAAGTCTTAGGAAGGCTCAACTCTCTGGCTATAAACCAGAACCCTGACCTCTCCCTGAAATGGGCTTGAAGTCAGGTTGCTGTCCCACTGCAGCAGAAGAGAACCATACCAAGGGCCTGTGGCCAATAGTCCCAGCACACTGTCAAGCAGTCCCCCTACTGACATCTCCAATTCCAGTGGCCAATTACTCATCTGAACTAAAAATGGTTGCCTCCCTATCTTTCCCTTAAAGCCCCCTAGAAAGCAAAGCGCCCACCTGCATGTCCAGGGACACAGTTAAGTGCTGTGCTTCTAATTCTAAGCAAGGACTTTGGAGTCTGTCAAATTTGTGTTCTAGACTTGGTTCTGGTACTTATCAGTCCTGTGGCCCAGGACAAGTCATACAACCTTTCTGCCCTGGCTTTGGTATCAGTAAAATGGAAGTTATTATGCTGTCACAAAACTAGTGTACAATATTTTAAAATGTTTACGAATATAACAAACACTTATACATTTTATGTGTTAGGAACTCTTTGTAAACCATTAATTTAAACTAATCACTATAACAATTGCACTGTTCCCATTATCTCCATTTTAGAGATGTTAAACTGAGGCATGGAGAATTTATATAACATACTGAAGAGCATACAACTCATTTGGTGACACAGCCAGGATTCAAATTCAAGCAGTCTACTCTAGAATTCATAGTTTTAGCCAGTATAAGGTCCGTCCTCCCTTGATACCTGTGGGGAATTGGTTCCAGGACCCCCATAGACACCAAGATCTGCAAATGTTCAAGTCCCTTGCATAAAATGGCATAGTATTAGCATATAACCTACATATATTCTCCTCTATGCTTTAAATCATCTGTAGTTTACTGATAACACCTAATACAATAATAAGTTATGTAAAGGTTATGTAAATAACCATTATCCTGTATTGGTTAGGGACTAATGACAACAACAACAGTCTGTACTTGTTCTTTACAGATGCCATTTTTCAAATATCCTCAATCCATGGCTGGTTAAATATATGGATAGGGAATCTGTGGGTATGGGGATGCTCCATGGCTATGAGAGGCCAATTGTACTCTGCTCCTCCTGTTTGCTCCCTCACAAAAGTCTGACACATAGGTGGGGTTAGATGGGGAAGAGCCACTGTTACTATAACCAGAGTGGTAACAGCAGTATAAGAGCATGTCTTTCCCTGTTCCTCCACATGGTAAGTGGGCCCAGCACCTCCCTATTCAAATGATTGAACAGCCTGCTCTACCTACTGTTGTCCCAGCACCACATCATGCAATGGCCAAGCTTATCCTGGAACAGAGGCCTCATAGCTGCTAAGCCTCTTGTCACTGACCCACTGCACCTCTGTAGTCACCTTGGCCAGAGACCTCAATGAGGGTTGTCTAGAGAGTGTCCCCATGAGAGTTTCCTTCCTCTGATGGCTGCCTCACTCCTATTCCAAGAGTTCCCTACCTTGGGAGCAGGAAGCACAAAGTGTGTTTAACTCAGTACAAGTGGCACTGGCAACCAGGGCCAGGGTCTGGAAAGAGAAAATAGTAAAAGAAGTAGTGTGGGGAAAGAGGAAGAGGAAAAAGGAAGGATCTGAAAGAGAAGAGACAAAAGGGAGCTGGAGAACCAATCACTTGACATTTAATAGCTAATTAAGTACTTATATTATGTACCATGTACTGTGCTAACTACATTTATATATACTTTCCTGTGGAGTGGGGACAATGATCATCCACATTTTACAGATGAGGAAAGTAAGGCATAGAGAAGTCAAAGAATGCCCCTCAAAGAAGCATTAGACATGGAGGATGAGGGCAAAGGGCACTGAGTAGTAGATACTGAGTGTAGGCTGAGTTCCAGGAACTTTCTCAAAGAGTCTCCCCAACCTTCTTTTCCCCATTTTATGAACAATATAAGTGAAATGCCACACTTTCTTCAGAAGAATTTCATTTAATTCAGTTAATTCATTTCTAGCCTAAAGATCTTGTACTTAAGAACTCTAAATGTCCACAGCCTGATTCTTTTTCAGCTGGAGGAATCCCAAGGCTACATCTGACATGGATGCAATTCAAAGTCAAAAGAAATAAAAAATATTTTAAGCTATACAGACCATTAACTTCTTTTTCATATCCAAGTCAACATGTTTTTTAGAACTGAAATTACAAAGTGGTAAACTTAACCAGACCTCTGGAGTCAGACTGCCTGAAACATCAGATACATGGACCCTGTCTGTGGCAAGATCCCCACCCTGCTTCTTCCCACCTCCCAACCTGGACTGGACAGTGACATGCACCAACATCCTCTGCCATGAAGACTACCAATCTCACTGTCCTACATCCTGTTTATTTCAGCCACCAAAAGTAGCCCAAGATTCCCAGGTTACCCTCCCCAACACCTGAACTCAAATCCCTGTATGGCTCTGTACATATCCTAGTCTGTCCTATCATCCACCCCCTCTTCCAGTACTTGAAATCCTTCTATTTTCTTGAGCTCCTAGCTCTCGCTAGCAAAATTTCCTATACCTCAAACTTTTCTGTGAATAGCCCATTTACCATTTTGCTTCACCAAAAACTTAGCCCTGCTCTAAGACACTATTATCCCAATAGCCCTCTTGAGTAGTGGGTGTTTTTCCTCTAATACCTCCTTCTGCTACTTGACCAGGAGGGCACCTCTCTGCTTCTCACTGTAGCTTCTAAATTTTCTTTGCCTTTT